TTACCCATATTGTAGGTTATGGCTATGATTTTTAGAGTTTAAACAGCTTAACCTATGTGGCATCTCACWTCATCCAAGCATGCACCCCACCTTGTACCTTGCACCCAATGTTCTAGGAACATTTGACACTTTAGTTGTGCTTTTCACTTGTAAAACACCATGTTCATGTATTATCCACTAGTGATAAAAAAGCTGCAACTAGAAAAACCATGTTTGTGGTGAACTATAGGTTGCTCTGAAAACCAGCAGCATATTAGAACCGTGAAACTTGATACTAATATAGTATCCATGACTGTTATCCCATCATGTTTATACCCATCAACCTAGCTTTTAATTTCCTGCATAAAGTGTCTAATAAAGCACTTGTGAAGTTTCACTTTCACATCRATCATTCTTATCACAACTATGGAACTCAAACATGGTAAGAACATTGACTTGCAAAGCAAAACACAACTTCGACCTTCATAACATTCCATTTTCCTTCTCATATACGAACTACCATTGAAAACAAAAGGAGTTAATCTATGACGCCAAAGAGGTATGACATTGGAAGAGCTTTGACCAACTAAAATACCCCCATAAATTTTGATGAAAACCAACTGATTGGTTACCACTTTTATGATATGGGTTGATTGGTTATAAGTTTTTTAGATATCATGCCTTTCTGGTATCATAATCAGACCCCAAAAGAAACAACATTTCTATATTTCCTGCCAAGGACAAGCTCCATATTACTTGTAGTTCTTCCAGTTAAAACTTGCAGTCTCCGCTTAAATTAGCCAAGGGCTACAAATAAGTACAACAGAAACCTGGATACAATCATAAAATCAACATAAAAACATTAAAAAAATCTTTAATATACCACATAAACTACCATGGCTACACTTCCACATTCTTCTTATTCTTCTTTTTTTCCCTATCAATTTGGCCCAGCTCTAAACCTTAAAGCATTTGTCAATCCAAAACCATAACTCAACAATGCTGGGGAAGAAGCATCTAGGCCTTCCCAGTCTCGCACCATGGTTCAAGCAAAAACAACAGTTGACCAGTACTTCATACAATAAACTGTACATTTTTTGTTATATTGGAATAAAGCGCCATAACAGAGAAGGGAGCTCCAGTTCCATAACAGAATTCAAATTACAAGAAGCACTTCAAAACAACTAGTTGCCTTTCTTCAACCAATAATTCATAGACCATCCAATAAGAGAAACAAAAAAAAAAAAATTAAAGCATATCTCTCAGAAAGCAAATCAATGAATACTTAAACATCCAAAAAAATAACTGAAAACAAACAAATTAAGTATGATATCTCTTTTGCTAAACTACCATTGACGATTTTGTAGACTGGATCTCCTCTAACTCATCCAAAAGGAAAACTGAGGAACAGACGACGTAGACTCAAATTCAGTGACTCGGATCCGCAAGAAGAGAAAGAGAGCTTCGGAATCTCTGCGGCTATTTCGAGAAGATCGGAGGTAATTTATGAAAAAACGAAGCAGGTATTTCCCCTTTCTTCAGAGCYGTCTGTCTGTCTCTCTCTCTCTCCCCGCAGAATGAGTATTGGAGTTTATATACGAAATCAAATATAGCCTTCAAAATTTCCCTCTCTAAGCGTCTGTAACTTTCTCTCTCTATATTATAAACTCCTCTGGTCAGGTCAGCTGG